TCTGTATCAAGACAATGTCCGCTTTCGAATCACGGTGCATATCGTCTGTTTACTAAATCCGAGAGAACAAGCCTTTTAATTTTGTTTAAAAGTGATTGCCTCTCCGATATTTGCATATCTCTAATGTGTATGCAAGGCGACTGTATATCCTCAGCCTCGACTCCAGACCATCCTAACCTGGCCGTAAGAGATCTGGACAGAATTACCCAACATTCTCTAGGGTAGATGTAGTGATGTAGTGTTGTACGATGGATTCCGTGTAACTTGTGCTCACGCCGAAACCAGTAAAGTACTTGCGGGATTTTAGGATATTTATATTTTTTTCCAGTGGTTGATTTTTCCATTTAACAGTCCTCGAACTTGTCGAATGAATAAACAGACAACCAATAAGAAAATACAAAAAAAATAATAATAAAAATCCTCAGCACTTTAAAAGATTGATGTGTCTTGATGCCGACTGAATGAAATATTTCATCTGGTTTGGCGTTTAATCCATTAAATCGCCTTCTGCGAGCGGAACAACTTGAGTTAAAAAGATTTTTCGGATCGGTTTTCTGACTTCAATTTTTCCATTGTACAGTTTTACCGTGTTAATTCTTTCAGCGCGTGTTTTAGTGAAGGAAACTCTCTAACGTAAGCGTACCATAGCCTCTTGAAATAACTATGTGCATTTAATTCACATTGAAGTCAATATATATGAAGGCAGCCCGCATGTATCTATACAAGGATTAAATCAGTTTTCAAAGTATGAGTGGTATGGTTAAGTTCGATGCCATGAGACAACTCTTGCCTTCATTGTCGAACGCTGACAATCACCGAGCAGTTTATCAGTTTAATAAATCAGTCTCTCTGAGATAAGGTGTTTGAGCGATCAGAGTAGAAGAAAAGAAACTCAAAACGAAACTTCATGTGTCGGAAAATGGGTTGATAAGAGTGAACAGAGCAAATATAATACTCAAGACCGCGCTGAGAATGCTAAAGGTAAGGATTTCTAGCCTTTGTACGTACACGCGGTTGTGTGAAGTGTAATTAACCTGAACAAAGCTAAATAAGCTGGTGAAAAGACTTCGAGCAGTGCCATTCCTACAGCCATTGGCAGAGATCTTAAAAATGTAAGAACGAGACCCTTAGTTGCTACTGTAGTTTTGATTTTAGCTCAATTGTTCCATTCAGTTCTAACCGAAATTTCCACTCCGTTTTCATGTGAAACTGAAAGACTCGACTCTTAATTTTCAAGGGCAATTCATGGTTTTTAAGTATTTCCATTTCTTTTCAAGGTTGAAACTCTGTCAGACTTCATGATACTTAAAAACATCATAAAGCTTCCCGCAAAACAACCAAAAATAGCTGAATGCTTGGTGATACCACAATTCACCTTTCAAATCGAACCTGTGCCGTTAAAGGAGTGCATGTATTCAGCATCGTTATTTTCAAATGTGCTCGCTCTATCGCTTGCGTATATATTCTTAGTTATTAGGCTACCATATGCAACAGAATCACATGTTTCTTAAAGTGCATATAACATGAAAAATATTTTTTGCTTATTTGAAAGGCCTTTCAAAATACAGAAGAATGGCGTTTTTCTTTTTGAAATATCTTTTTTCGTTTTAGAGATATTGACGT